GACAGGGTCGCGACTCGCGAGTTGACTCGCGAGTCGCGAGTTGGACGGGTCGCTGGGCTGCTGGAGGCTCTGTTAAAGTCGCGAGTCGCGACTTTTTCTCTCGCGAGTCGCAACTAAACTCGTGAATCGCGACTTTGTGCTCGCGACTCGCGAGATTCTGGGCTGCACTGCACCATTTTGCGTTTTTTCCTCGTTTGAGCTCGTTCGAACTCGGAATTGAGTTCCGTTTTTTCCTATGCGTCGCTAACGAACCCCTCTATCTAGTTATGCTCTCGAAAATAACTTTTCCGGAAGAGAAAATTCGCCCGAATCTTTCGACCTACACACCAAAAACGACAAAACACAAAAGAAAAGTGGAAAAACAAACAAAAAAACACCTAATGACTTAAAATGAAGGAAAACACATAATAAAACAAGAAACGGACTAAAAACTAAAGAAACAACCTAAAACGGGGGAGAACGAAAGATAAAATAAACACGAAAAACGCAACAAAAATGGGACAAACAAGCAGCTACTCCCTTTCCTCTAACATTTCCACGACCCCTATTTTTTTTTTTGTTTTTTTGTTTTGTTTTGTTATTTTTTTTTAGTTGTTAACATACTTTGTTTGTAAGTTGTTAGACCAGCTGAGTTGTAGTGTCCTTTTTTAAGCACTTTGTTTGTGACCTTTTCGAAGCACCTCGTTTGTGGGTTTAGACCTTCTGAGTTACAGTGTCCTTTTCAAAGTCGTGCTTGTTCGCGTGCCTTCCACAACCTACAAGCCAATTGAACAAGTGCCTCGTCTAAATTGCAGAAGAGATAGCTTAGTGTTAGATTTGTATGTGCATCAGTCTGTCCCTCTTTATTTTTGGGTACCGGTTGAATCCTGTTCTTATTTGTTTTTGAAGAATAACATGACTTCTATGGACCCCCATGTAAGAATGGCTTGCCAAATTGAAATGTACGCTCCATTTACTTCTTTGGTTTTTACTCATACATTTTTTTTTCCTTATCAGGTTCGAAAGTTGAGTTCTATTCACCATTTGATCCATGCACTTAGCCAATTTATGCAGCTTTTGTTGGAAAATCATTAATATAAAATTGGGTATAACCTGGTTTTGACTGATTTTTTATGGCTAGATATTCAATTCGGGATGGATTAAATCGTGTAGAAAAAATTCTACGTTCCGAGTAGTACCGTGGTATATTTAATTTCTCAATACTGATTTTTGGTGAGTGAGAAATAAATGTTAGCCATAAATGGGCACGCAGAATATTGGTTGTGGGATTCGAATGGTCAAAAGACTTATCCCACATAGAACTCTTAAATGAGATTAACTCTCTTTATTGTGATAAAGAGAGTTGGCGAGGTTACAACAACAATAAGGTTATGCACCAAGTGTTGGTGTACAAACCAAGTTGGTTTTGAGCTCGATTTTTGACCCAACCCATGTGACAATGTTCTTGGTACATTGAACCTGAAATGTGGCCTTTCAATTGCCCTCCACATGACGGTTTCAGGAGTTATAAGGTGGATTAATGGTGAGTTAAACACCATAATGTTGCCCATTTATAAGGTTGATTAATGGTGACTTAAATACCATTATGTTGCCCATTTATAAGAGTGATTAAAGGTGAATTAGTCACCTTAATGTAGCCATTATAAGGTGGGTTGAATGCTATTAATGGCTGGGATGACCACCAAACTTCTCCCATTTGTGATGGAAGTCCTATAAATAGGACATAGAGTTGTAAAGGAAAGTACACTGAAGAAGATACGGAAAATTTCATCTGCATTCTCAACTCTCTCATCTCTCATAGCCTTACGCATACATAGTGCTCAGTTCTCGTCTCTATTCATGTTCGCCGGAACTCTGAGGACAGGTGTGCTACAGCTTCCGAGTGTATGGTTGTTGTATCTTTGGGGACATTATACACAGACCCGTCAGCATTATACAAGGCGTATTTATCTTGCGGAAATATTTCAGTCGCGGCTTTAATCTGTCCGCATTCGAGTTGTATTTTATATTTCTTCTTTAGTTCATACTGTGGGAACCGAACTCTTCAGTCAGTTCATAGGTTTCTGTTGTAATCAAAACACATATTGTGTAACAATCGCAAGACAAATAATCGACACCTACTGAACTGATGGCATCCACCGGAGAAGGATCACAAACTCAACATCCGATCAACTCCGTTGTTCATAATCCCATACATTCTGTTCACGACCCCCTGCTGAGAAGCCCGAAAAATTTAACGGGCTTGACTTTAAGAGGTAGCAGCAGAAGATGCAGTTCTACCAAACCACTTTGGGTTTGGTGAAGTATCTGAAGGAAGACCCTCCGGTCGTGGCTGAAAATGAATCCAATGCTGAGCTACGCGCTGCGTATGATGTTTGGGGGCAAGGTGATTACCTTTGCTGGAATTATGTCTTGAACGGACTTAGTAACGAGTTGTACAATGTGTACAACTTGATTGGTTCTGCCAAGGAGATTTGGGCTGCCTTGGAGAAGAAGTATAAGACTGAGGATGTCGGGGCGAAGAAATTCATTGACGACAAGTTTCTTGACTTCAAGATGGTCGACTCGAAGACTGTCGTGTCTCAAGTGCAAGAGTTCCAACTTATCTTGCACAATATCCATGCTGAAGGAATGTCTCTGAGCCAGTCGTTCCAAGTTGCTTGGGGACAAGCAACTATTTAAGTTTGGGGAGATTTGATAGGCCGAAAAATGTGCATGTTTTATATGTTTAATAATGTATTTTTATATGCTTAATTTAATCACATGTTTGTATATTTTTGACCAATTTATTATTTGAATAAATTTATTTGATTTAATGTTTAATGTGTCATTTTCAATATTTTGGAGATCTTGTGGATTTGATACATTGGACGGACTTCGCGTAATCAATTATCAAGGCGTCCAATAACCGTTAATTTGGCCCACGTATTACCATTAAATTCAGGCCCAATTTGCAGAGTTTATCAAGTATATTAGCTCAAGATCTATTAAATAATTGAGCCAAGATATTAATTAGATTTTCCTGGCAACACACACACATTTGGCTGACTTTGAATGGAAAGAGGACAAGGTGACATTGAACTATTTTTGGAGGATTTAATTGGCTTGAGGGGTACTTGTTTGTGGGAGAAAACACACTAGAACAAGAACATTATTTTTACGAGAGAAAAAGAAAAAGTCGCAGAGGAAGAAAGCAAGCAGCAGTCGCACGGGAAGAATGATACACACGCTGAGGAAAGCCGCAC